GTCCTCCTCCTCCTCCTGCCTGGCGGCCGGTCCAGCTGTGTTCCATTAGCCGCCCTGGCAGGCCCCCAGTCCCCTGGAACCGCCCCTCTTCCCCCACCCGGAGTGGCCGGCAGTCCCCGGCAGGCGTGCACCGGGCAACACTCGGCCCAGAGCTCGAGCACCAGGAAGCTGAGCACCCGTGGCCGGCAGGGAGAGATGGAGAACCCCCAGTAGGCCTGAGGAGCCTGGATTGCTCAGCGAAGTGGGGGGACCCCAGGCCACTGGTAAGTGGGGATGCAGTGGGCTACCCCAGGGCACTGAACTGAAAGGCCCTTTCTGCCCCTGACTTGCTGTGTGACCTGGGGCAAGTGGCATCCCTTCTCTGGGCCTCAATCGGCTTCTCTCCCTGTCCCCAAATCTATGCCTCTGTGTTGGGGTGGGACATCTCCTTGGAAGCGTCTCTCCCTTTATCCCTGTAACCTTCCACTCTGGTTGGGGCCGGGGGTGTGGAGGCCAGAGATTGGGAGCCAGCAGGGCACATGAGCCCATCCATGTTCACGCCTTCACATGCACCCGCATGCCGCCCACAATTGGCAGCTCTTACATTGGCTGGCAGGAGGGGAAGGCGGGATACAGGATTTGAGAGGTGGGATGTGTGCACCACTAGGATGGGGTTGAATAGGGTGGGGGCACAGTTCTGTCCCGGGGAGGAGGAGCCTGGGATCCTAGCTCCAAATATATTGGGGTAAGGGGTCTTTCTGTTCTCATTTCCCATCCATGACCACGGTGGGGGGTCGGATAGGATTCTATTAGAATTGGAAGGAGTGAGGTCAGACTTGCATAAGGACTTCCCAATAGGAAGTCCTACTGGAAGAGTGAGCATAGTCTGGCTGTGTGCACGTGTGTATGTGCAAGCTGGGGTGTCTGGGTATGTCAATGAGCACGTGCTTCTGTGAGCACACCTGTGTGCAGGTAGGTTTAACGTATGCATACCAATACCATACATGTGCCTGTGTGTGCACATATCTGTGCACCTGTGTGTGTTGTACTAACACATGCACAGCTCTGTGTTTCTGTGTGTGCGCTGCCTGGCCTGGGGAAGGCCAGATGATGTATGGCTCTGCTGGCTACTTGCTGAGCCTGCATCGATTTATCTGGGGCCATCCATCAGGGTTTAATAAAACTAAAAGATGAGCATCCATCAGCGGGGGGCTGGCAATGAGGTCCGGAGCCTGTTGTACCCATGGGGGAAGCTTCCTTGGCCCACACACAGCCCTATGACATGTGCTAGGAGACTCAGCCCGGTCATCAGCCCCTGACCTTTTGGGTGCTGGGCAGAGCTGCCTGGACTGAGCTGGGTGCAGCTAGCCAGGCTCCAGGCTGATATGTACCAGGGTGCAAGCTGTTAATATATTGAATACTTCCAAGTGTCTTGATGAATAACCTCTGCCTCAAAACCCCTCACTATCCCACTTCCCCAGCCTTCTAGAATCCTCTAGACCTCTCCTCCACCCAGTAACTATCCACTGGCATGACCAGATGCTGCCTGGAGCCTGCTTCAGTGCTCCAGCCAGCATTCTGCTCTGCCTAGTCAGTGTCTGTGCCATACCGGAGGTTAAATATTTTGAATATCACCCTGCCCAAATCCTAGCCCAAGGCCTGTGGTTGGGCCCCTGAGAAGGACTCATGTCTGGCCAGACCTCCTGCCACCCCAATGCCAGGCCCCACGGGCTGGCCGCTGCTCACCCCATGTGGAGTTGTGCTGTGTGAACTCAGGAATCTGCCTTCCTGGTCTCTGTGGTTTCCAGGTGCTGTGGCTGTAGCCGACCTCTTTGGACCAGGATGTGGGTACCTTGGGTTCTTGGCTTGTGGCTGCTCAATCTCTGGGGTACCTTCAGCCATGGGGCAAATACAGGTGAGATGACACCAGGGCTCAGAGTACCATGGGCCTACAACTGGCTCCCTGGGGTATGGGGTCCTGGCATGTATTGGCCATGTATATGCGGTCACATGGGCATTTAGGGGAGAGTCAAGGGGCCGGGCTTAGGGTGGCCTGAGGTGTCTGCACACCGGCGCCTGTGTGAGGGGAGCTGGGAATGTGTATGTTTCTGCATATGCTTCTATCTCTGAGCATCTCTGTTTGCATCAGAGTCGCTCTGCATTTGTACGTATTCCTGTGTCTCTGTGTGTGAGAGAACAGCCCCCCTAATATGGAAACCCATCCTGTACACCCACTGCCGGGAGGGCCCGTGGGTGGGGAGGAACGGGCTGTGGGCTCTCCCTGCTGAAGGGAGCTGCATCCCCAAAGAGGCCCGAGCCCCTTGGATCCGTTTCCTGGTGGAGGATCCCTCCTCTAGCTCACATGCTCCTCCTCCTCACAGCTGGCCCTGAATCCCCAATAAAGGGCCCGCCCCGAGGCCCAGACTCTGGATGAGACAGAGGGTGCAGCTTTCCAGGGCCCAAAGCCAGGGGAAGTTGACCGGGCAACTCGCCCGGCCCTGCCGGGTGCCCTCTGGGCTCAGTAGCTCAGCCGCCTGGCCAGGCGGGAACAGAACTCCAAGAACCCAAATCCAGCTAAGGGAGGCGGAAAACCAAGGTGTGGAGTGAGGGGTGCACAGGGGTGAGCGTGGCTGCCTGCCAGCTGTGTGTGTTTCACGTGTGTGTGCACATAAGTGTCTCTGCATGAGTGTGTGAGCTTTGCTCTCTTCTCCCTCACCAGGTCCCCTGGGCGGAATGGGGCAGAGAATTTCAACATCTGTAAGGAATCTGGGCCCCTTGCCAAGGCGTGAGTCACCATGCTCTTCTATACTCAAGACAGTGATGGTCTTTCTGGCCAGACCCGGAGGAGGGAGACTCTAGCAGGGTCACTGGGCTCAGGGATCCTGGATTCCTTCTTCCACCCTGTCTAGGCAGGGAGTCCAATGCCAGCTTCTAGGGGCTGTCTTCACTGCCTTTGTCCCCCTGCCCCCTCTGCATCGATGGAGAGATCTTTTTGATTCTGGCCTCTGTAGCACTTTCCCCAGCCCCAGGGAGAGGAAGGCCGATGGCTGCCTACCTGTTCTTTCAGGACTTTGGAGGCATGAATTAAGCTCTCCCCTTCTTCAGGAGCCCTTGTCCCTTAATATGTCCTGCCTGGAGCTCCAAGGCACTGGTGGTACCCTTGAGCTGTGGTCCCCTCATACCCTGAGTCTCGTCTCTTTGTTTCACAAGATAGTTGTTCAGGTAAAAAGCCATTCTGTTGGCTGAACTTGTGTCTGGACTGCTTGTCTGCTTTGGATGTGGGAAGTGGGACCCCACCCACTGTTGAGAACACGTGTACCAACAGCTCATGTGATCCCTGGTGGCGTGGGCATCTATAAGTCACACATGTGCAGACATGCACATACAATTGTACATAACACAAAGTGTGCATGGAGCTGACATCTCCTTACCCCTGAAGTGTTCCTCTGCCCCCCACCTGGGTATCCGTCATGGAGGGGACACACGTATATGAAGCTCCCCACTCCATCTGTGTTCTAGGGTGGCCCAGAGTTTCTTTTATTCTCTCCCTTGCTGGCCTGGCTTCTGATATAGAGTATTGGGAGTTTGGATTCCTGGAGTTCTGGTCCCATTCTGTTGTTGATTCAGTAGTCTTGGTGCCAGGATTCCGTCTCTGGGCCCTAGTCTCCCCAACTATATGCTAGGGTCCTCCTGGTTCCCCGGGTAGCCAGGGTGCAACAGCCTCAAGGCAGGACTGAAAGACTGGGGTGGGGGTTATAAACTCACTCCTTCCCGGGTTCTCCAAGAGCGCAGCCACGCAGCTACTTGGGCCTGAGCCCACTTAGTGCCCCACTGACACCTCTCTTCCAGGTGAGCAGTGCCCACCTTCACAGCAGGAAGGACTCAAGTTGGAACACAGTAGTGACCTGTCAGCCAATGTGACTGGTGAGTGTCTGTCTTACCCTGCTGCCCTCTTGACTTTCTCTGGGCGTGGTCTGTACCCCTCTCCACCTGCCCAGCAGAGCTCTCACCTGGTGTCTCCCTCAAAGGCTTCAACCTCATCCGTCGACTCAATCTCATGAAGACGTCTGCCATCAAGAAGATCCGCAACCCCAAGGGGCCCCTCATCCTGCGGCTGGGAACGGCCCCACTGACCCAGCCCACACGGTAATGACATCATTGCGGTCACCGTTATCCATACTGGCCTCAGCCACACTCCCCGGCAACTCTGGATGTGGGGCCTAGGCACGGGACCTCTCTGTGGGTCATTTCATCCCACCCCTGTCAGGAGTCAACCTGGTCTCCACCCCTGGGGCTTGCAGGGTGGGCTGACAGGCGGTGCCTGGCAGACCCACTCTCTGTCTCTCCCCTATCTCTGGCTAGCTGTGGGTAGGGATAGGTCTGCATCCTGTGGGCATTGTGAGAACTCAGGGCGTGGGCAGAACCTTGGCAAGAGTGGGGTGTGTGTGGTGTGTGTGCACCCACGTGTGTGACGTCCAAACTCCCACAAGCCCTGGGTGGTCTGGCCTCTGCCTAGCTCTCTGACCTCCGCTCCCAGCATGTTCCTCTTTCCTTCCTGCTCTAGTCATGCTGATCCCTTCCCTCTTTTTTCAGCATCTCCCCTTCCATACCAAGCCCAGTTATTCGCTCTAGGTTGTCCTGGATTCCTTGGAATTGCTTACCCAGACTGCAGTGCAGTCGTGAAATAGTCATTCTGGGGTTCTTCGTTTATGGCCTCCCTGCCTCCGTCAGACTCAGAGGCTCCACCAGGGCAGGCACCGCTCTGTGTTTTCTCCACTGTTGTTCCCAGCAGCCTGACCCACACCTGGCGCATGGAAGGCACTCAGTGAAGGGGTGGAGACTGCATGGATGTGTATGTGTGTGCATGTCTCAGGGAGACTTACCAGTCCTGCCCAGGGTGGGCAGCATCTGAGCCCTCACTAGAACCTTGGGGCACCCTCCCTGCTCCATCTGCAGACGCGTGTTCCCTCGGGGCCTCCCGGAGGAGTTTGCCCTGGTGCTGACACTACTGCTGAAGAAACACACCCACCAGAACACGTGGTATCTGTTTCAAGTGACTGACGGAGATGGGTATCCACAGGTGAGCCCCCTCCCCTCCTCATCCTTATTGCTTCTTGGAACATCAGGTAGTACCCGTACCAACCCTTGGGGCTATCCCCAGCCCACCAGTCCCTCATTCATTTGGGACGTGCTGCTTCTTGGCCCTAGCCAGCCTTCTTCCCTTTCCTGTCAATCCTGCTCTGTGTTCCCTCCCATGAAAGAGGTTCCCTCCCCTTGCCCTTTGCCGTACCGTGGCCCTGGCACTTTGGATCTCTGACCTGCCCCTTTTCCAATTCTGCACAGATTTCCCTGGAAGTTAACAGCCAAGAGCAGAGCCTGGAGCTCCGGGCCCAGGGCCAGGATGGCGATTTTGTGTCCTGCATCTTCCCAGTGCCCCAGCTCTTTGACCTGCGTTGGCACAAGCTGATGCTGAGCGTGGCTGGACGTGTGGCCTCTGTGCATGTGGACTGCCTCTCAGCCTCCTCCCAGCCTCTGGGGCCCCGGCGATCCACGCGGCCTGTGGGTCATGTGTTTCTGGGCTTGGATGCTGAGCAGGGCAAGCCCGTCTCGGTGAGTGCCGGGTCAGGCCCTGGCCTCACCTCCCGCCTTCTAGGAGCCTGAGGGAGCTTTCCAGAGTCTGTGTCCTACCAGGTCCTTCCTTTCTCAGAATCCTTCCATGACTCCTTGTTGCCCTCCAGATGTAGCCTAATTTATTAACCTGATTCAAGCCCCTTCATGATCTAGTCCTTATAAGTGTCTGCATCATTGTCTTCCTGGACATCTCTCTGTGCAGCTCTGCTCTGGTCAATTCCTCCTCATCACTTTCACTCCGCCATGCCTTTGCCTATGCTGATACCGCTAGCTGGAATGCTTTTCCTTGCATGCTCATCTGCTGAATGTTTGCTAGCCCTTCAAAGCCCGGCCTGAATGGAGCCTGCTCCCTCTTGTTCCTCTGGGCCTCTTCTCCCCTTTTTCCTGCACGTGCAGTTTTGTTCTACCTTTGGTGAAAGCTGTATTTTTGATGTCTCCCAAGCCAGACTGAGAATACCCTGAGGTCAAATCCTGGGGTGGAGACATCTCTGTGCCTCCTTGGGGGCCAGGACACAGAGCTGTGTGATAAAATGAAGTGAAACTGACGTGTGTGTCCCCTGCAGTTTGACTTGCAGCAGGCACACATCTACTGTGACCCAGAGCTCGTACTGGAGGAGGGCTGCTGTGAGATTTTACCAGGAGGAGTGAGTGGCCTGGCTCTCAGACAATGGGCGGGGGTGGGGGCACTGCTCAGGGACACAGCATGCTGGAAATGGGGGTCTGGAGGGGTGCCTGGAGGTCTTAGGATGAGTTCACCTCTATACTGACCCCAGCCCTCCTCCCACACTGAGCAGTGCCCCCCAGAGACCTCCAAGGCCCGCCGGGACACCCAGAGCAATGAGCTCATTGAGATCAACCCACAGACTGAGGGCAAGGTCTACACCCGCTGCTTCTGCCTGGAGGAACCTCAAAACAGCAAGGTGGGTGGGCAGGGCAGGCAGATATGGGCACAGGCAGGCACAAGTTAGACTACTTCTTCCCTGACCTAACCGAGGTCTGCTACAGGATCAGCTGGCCATGTGTCCAGGGCGGGGAGGGCACCAGAAGCCCCTATAGGATCCAGGGAGAAAACCCACTGGGTGACCTTGTGCCCGCCTACCTGCTGGCATTGACATAGATATGCCCATTTAGCTCTGGCTCCGCCCAGACCCTCACTGATGCCACCCAGACCCATCTGATGAGGGCAGGACCAGGCTTGCCACCCTCCACTGGCAGTTTCTCCTACAGTGATGCCTGGGGTCAAAGGCCAGGTTGCGCTACTCCTTCCCCCAGAGCCAGTTCACTCACCTGGGCCTAGTGCCAGCCAATGCCTGGCTAGGTCTACACCCAGCACCATGGCCAGCTGCCCTGCTCACTCCCAGGTTCTTTGAAGGTGGCAGGGAAGCCCAGTTCCTCCCTCGGTCCCACCTCCTGGCTGGGCAGTCTCCCTGCCCACCCGGGCATCCTGCCTGGGCTTTGGCTGTAGGAACACAGGATCCCATTGATGCATGGCCTTGTTTTCTTCGACATCACATGGGTGGGGGGAAAAGGTGGGGGCAGCCTCGGAGGCCTGAGCTGGCCCTGGGAGGTGCCGGATGCCAGGCTGAGGGGCACCTGGGATCCATGCCCCCTACCTGGGTGTTCCAGAACTGCCCCCTCCCAAGTGTTCCCCTTTGCTCTGTCTGCTTAGGTAGATGCCCAGCCGACGGGAAGAATCAGCCAAAAAGCAGAAAGGGGAGCAAAGGTAGTGGTGGTGGGGGGGGAGCTGTGGTGCCCTCAGCCTGCCCTCTGTACCCTCCAAAACCCCTTGGATAAAGCACTCCACTCCCACTTTCTTCCCACTACCCCCACTCCTGGACAGAACTTAGGACATGTGGGTGTCAGCTCAGAGTGGGAAGGATGGATGGGGGTGAGGCAGACGAGAGCCTGGCCCTCTTTCAAGCTTCCACTCCTGCTGGTTCTCGGGTAGGGGCATTGGAAGCAGTACTCGGTCCCCTGAGCTCTCTGCCCATTCCCAACACCTCCCGCCCCTTTTCCCAGATCCATCGGGAGACAGCAGCCGATGAGGTAAGCCTCCCATTGGACTTCCAAAAGAGGGAAGGGTTGGCATGAACCCTTTGGACCAGGCAGCAGGCACAGAGCCTAGGCATGGAGGTGCTGATGCCTACATAGCTCCCAGCATTCCTTGGGAGCCCAGTGTTGGGTCCTGTCTGCCCATTGCCTCTCCCTGGGTTGGGAGCGGTAGCCCTGATGACATTCTTGCTGGATTGGCAGCAAATGGCCATGGGCATCATGGGGAGAGCCCAGCCCTCAGCCATAGTGCCCTGGATTCTGTGTCTCTGACTGCTTCAACATGCTGTATGACCCAGGCCCTCTGCTGTTCCTCTCGGGGCTTGAATTTCCTCATCTGAACAATGACAGCAGGGCTGAGTTGGTAGGAAATGAGGCGAGTGGTTTCCCTTATGGAATCCCTGCCTTCACGCTTCCCTTAGATTCCACCCAAGACACGTGTGATGTTCTGTGGGCTTGGTGGGGGAGATGGGGGTGGGGAGAGCTTGTCCCGGGGGCTCAGAATGACCTCCTGGCCTGTTTTTCCCTTTCAGTGCCCACCCTGTGTCCATGGTGCCCAGGAGAGCAATGTGAGTGAATTGAGGGTATGCGGCATGGGGTGGGAGAAGACTGGGAGTGGGCGTCGCCTAGAGCTGGCTTGGTGGCTTCCTGGTTGAGGACAAGGGGGTCTTTGTGCACTTTCACACACACCC